TATATATATATATATATATATATATATATATATATATATATATATGTGTGTGTGTGTGTGTGTGTGTGTGTGTGTGTGTGTGTGTGTGTGTGTGTGTATGCATGTTCTTTTTCTGTCAGACTCATTATTCCAACCAAACTTGATCTTCTGCAACCTAAGTCAAGTAACAGGCATTCCTAACGTTGAGGGTGATAGAAAGTATGGGAGAAATTATAGGTAACTATTGCTTCCTGCGAGAAGAGAGAGGAACCTCAACCAGGAGCACACATGATGGTGGTATGTCCCCTTACCCCAAGTTCTCTGTAGCTGTGAACACTCCATCATGGGCTGTGGGCAGGGATACCACTTTATGTGCTGAATGCGCAAAAGACCAATGAGAGCACACTTGTAGATAAACAGCCTAGTATGATTAATTCTGGCGAAAAATAAACATAAAGCTAAGATGCTGTATTCTTCAGTTCTGAACCAAGAAAGGGTCACTATCTCATGTCAACAGTATATATAAGTTGTGTTAAAACAAACTATGTGTGGTTCCCCCATCCCTTTTTCTTTCATCTCTCAAGCAATTTGTAAAATCATATTGCCAAAATATCACTTCTTTGTCAGAAAATGAAAGACTAGATATTTTAAGCCTTCAATAGACTTGACATGTACATGTGCTCACCTTGATCAGGGGTGGTTTGGACCGGTTTGGGTGAACCAGATGTTAAAGTTACATCTGGTTCGCTGAACTGGTATTTCAACTGACCCTCTGGCCCCATCCACCCGGCCCCTCACCTTCCAGGAGTCTCCACAGGGCCCATTTTCGATGGAGATAAATGTAAGGTCTGCATGGAGGCTCTGGGAGGGGGGATAAAACGGGCCTTCCGGAAGTCCAGAAACAGGCCTGTTTCCGGCTTCCGGTAGGCCTCCAGAGCCCAGGTGAGGCTGTTTTTGCCCTCACGAGGCCCAGGGGAAGCCTCAGGACCCTTGGGAGGGTGAAAACGGCCTCCCCTGGGCTCTGGAGGCCCACTGGGAGCCAGAAACATGAAGTTCCGGTAGGCCACGCCTACCATGGCCACACCCACCCAACAATCGAGCAGAGAACCAGTTGCTTTGAATCTTTGAATCCAACCCCTGACGTTGACACATCCCGATTAAGAAAGAGAACAAAAACAGAAGCGGAAAATCCAGCATGTGCGATTATTATGACAAACCCACTGAGTCAAGCCTCAATCGTTATAAAACGGTTTGAAAAATGGGCTCCTGCCACCAAAAATTAGTTCACCCCCTGACATAGTTTGTACATTGTTCCTTTTTAATCAATCAATCAGTCAATCATTCAGTTAATCCTTCTTAACAAACTGTTCTTAGTTGAATAAATAGTCACACTGTTCTAATAGAGCAGAATAAGAAAAGAAAGACCAGGGATTCATTTGTTCTGCTCAGTTTTACCCTCTGAGCTGGTAGAAAGGAAGGCAGTAAGCGGTACTTACAAACACTTCGATGGTGATGGGGACGGTGCTATTGAGGGCCGGGATGCCTGCATCCTTGGCCATTACAATCAAGTAAATAACACCATTGGCAACTTGCTCATAATCCAGAGGGCGGATGACACTTATCACTGAAAAAGCAAGAAAGCAGCGTTGGCAATTATGACACTAGGCATGAGATGGGGAAGGAATCTGAACATGAATGCTGCACACTCACCTCCATAACCTTCAGACAAGGTAATGTCAAAGTAACTTTTGAATGCAGAAGCATACACAATGCTATAAGCAATCTGATTGTTTGGAGAGGAATCTTCATCCGAAGCCTAGATTAAATCAGAAAAAAAAATGCTTATATTGAAACATTTTTCTACACAGTGAAAGCCATTTGGGAGACTTTGGGTCAATTGCTTTCTCTCTTACCACAACTATCATGGAAAATTAGGTATGCATGACACCTTAAACCAGAGGTGGTATTCAGCCAGTTCTGACAGGTTACGGAGAACCGGTAGCAGAAATTTTGAGTTGTTTGGAGTATCGGCAAATACCTCCTCTGATTGACCCTGCTCCCACCTATTCTCTGCCTCCCAAATCCCAGCTGATTGGCTGGTTCTTCTTTTGTTGCCCTGCACAGGAGAACAGAGCTGGAAAGCAGGTTAGTGGGATGGGGAGGGAATGGGGATTTTACAATATCCTTCCCCTGCTATGTCCACCAAGTCATGCCCACCAAGGCATACCACACCCAACAAGCTATACCCACAGAACCGGTAGTAAAAAAAAAAAAGAATACTACCACTGCCTAAAACTGACCACAGATTAAAAAGCAGGATAGAAATTAAATAAAACCAGGTAGAGTTTAAATAAGACATTAAAAAAGTAGGACAATTTGATGACTTCCAAAGTGCTTTGGAGCACCTGGAGACTTAGAGGTACTTTTTTGGGGTGGGTGGGTGGATTCCAAAGCCAGGCATACCTCTAACACCAAGAGCAGGCTGATGTGATGTTTCCCTTTCCCATAATATAAAAGTACACCTGCAAAAGTTATTGTAGCTCCAAAAAACCTAAGACTTATATTCCGAAATCAGGTCCATGATGTGTGTGTGTGTGTGAGAGAGAGAGCGAGAGAGAGAAATATAATATGGTGACGATGAGTTCATGTTCAAAGCCCAAGCCTTTAAAAAAATATATGTTGCCTGAGCAATAGCAATAGCACTTAGACTTATGTACCACTTTATAGCCCTCTATATAGATTTATATAGGTTTATAGAGTCAGCATATTGCCTCCAACAATCATTTTGTGGGTCCTCATTTTACCCATCTCGGAAGGATAGAAGGCTGAGTCAACCATTTAAAGCATGTGAAGAAGTGAAAAGAGTGAAATATCAAGAATCAGGAAATATCAAATGCACTGAAAACTTGGCTCTTCTCCCAGGTTGTGGAGTAGAGTGTATTCCTGTATCGTGCTTGGAATTTGTGTCCAAACATGGATGGTCTCTCTGTGTATTATGTATTTATATTTATCTAATGTAAGCTTCCCAGTCATTCTGAAGTTTGCTTTAGATTTAATAAGTAATCATGACATCAACAATAACATCATGCTTAATCTCAGTTTTCTGTTTTAAGAGTGGGGGGAGAGATACTATTTTGAAAATAATGTTTCTGGAGGCTATGCCATGCTAACGCCTCGTTTAATACTCTTTTACATAGATTTTTCTTTAAAACGAAAAACTCTGCTGGAGAATGAATTTTATGGGCACAAGGGATGGTTCCACAAATATATTCAAGGTCACAAGCACCAGACTGGAGATGTCAGTTCAAGTGGAATGCATTCTAATGTTTTTAATAGTTATTTCCACACATTATGCACTTTTTTTTTTCCAACGCAGTTCTTTATATCACAAATGGCTTTTAAGGTACACAGATACTCATTTCTCCTTCGTCATCACAGGAGAAGAAAAGCATATATCTGGAGTTTCTTACCCTCACGCGGACTACTTGAGTGACTGATGGCTCATTCTCCCTCAGAGCCCCTAAATAGGAATCTTTCTGGAAGGTGGGTATGTTGTCATTGACATCCAGGACATTAATCCGGACTCTCCCAGTTGTCTCTTCTCCACCCCCATCTCTGGCGATGACAGTGAGTGTGTAACGCTGGGTTGTCTCGAAGTCCAGGCGGGCAACCAGTGTGACGATGCCTGAATCCTTGTCTAAGGAGAACCTGGAGCCCAAAACAGCAAGCAACGTATCTAAGAAATAGACTTCAGTAAATAATTAATTTAACAGAATTACAGAGTTGGAAGGAACCTTGGCAGTCTCCTAATCTTACCCCCTGCTCAACCAGGAGACCTTAATATACATTTCATACAAATGGCTCTCGAAGCCTTTCTTAAAAACGTCCAGTGTTGGAGCATTCACACCTTCTGGAGGCAAGTTGTTCCACTGATTAATTGTTCTAACTGTCAAGAAATTTCTCCTTAGTTCTAAGTTGCTTCTCTCCTTGATTAGTTTCCATCCATTGCTTCTTGTCCTGCCTTCAGGTGCTTTGGAGAATAGCTTGACTCCCTCTTCTTTGTGGCAGCCCCTAAGATATTAGAACACTGCTATCACATTACTCCTAGTTCTTTTTCCCCCCATAAAAAAATCCTATAATCATCCTTTCTAGGTTTTAGCCTTCAGTCCCCTGTCATCCTTGTTGCTCTTTTTTATATTTTATCTAGAATCTTAATATCTGGATGGGAGAAATGAATTTTGAGTTGGGAAAAAAATCCAGTAGAGAGTTAAATGCTACACTCACACAGCTATGCTCATTTCTCTCTCTCCCATTTACAATGGATGCCTCCCTGAGGCTGTTTCCAATAGAAAATATATATATATATATACATTGCATATGTATGTATGTATGTATGTATGTATGTATGTATGTATGTTATTCAGCTCTGTTCGGGTATTTTCCCATGTCATTATAGTTGTGCTTTTAAAGTTGTAGCAACGTTTCGGCAGAATCTCATCTGCCATCATCAGGCTTCTGGTTGTGTTCGTCTGGGAGTCAGACAGCCATTTCAGTTTTGTGAAAATCTATATATAACATATATATATATATATATATGTTTTCTTAAGTTTTCGCGGGTACTTACATGTATGGTATTCAGCTTTGTTCGGGTATTTTCCCACGTCATTGTAGTTGTGCTTTTAAAGTTGTAGCGATGTTTCGGCAGAATCTCATCTGCCATCATCAGGCTTGTGTAGAGACAAACGCAATACACAAGCCTGATGATGGCAGATGAGATTCTGCCGAAACGTTGCTACAACTAGAAAAGCACAACTATAATGCCATGGGAAAATACCCGAACAGAGCTGAATAACATACATACATACATACACACACGCAATATATTGGGAATTCATTACACACGCCTGAATGTAATACATGGTTTGCTCTTTAGCAGATGGGAAAATCAATCCTCATCTTGCTTTCATGAGGAAGTGCAGAAAGTTTGCAGAGATATTTGTATAGTCATATAGAACAAAGAAAGAAGATCTAGCACAGTTCATTTCAAACCGAACTCTCTGAAGAATAAACTCTCAGCACATTATTATTACCTTCTCATCTCAAGATGTATATCCCAATTATTTTGATACACAGGTCAAAATATTAATCTGCTGGTTTATTTTAAAGGAACTGGGATGACAAGACTTTCTGATTCATTTTTAGGAATTCCAAGGCTCTACTTTAGCAACTAGTTAGCCTTTCTCTTTTGCTGGATTGCTATAGTAAATCTTAAGATCAGCAATCGCAGTCATTTATGTTTTGATCCAAGGCCAGTTAGGATGCAAGATGGACCAACCAGAGTTGGCAGTGTAATTCATAATTGATTTTCTGAATTAAAAATGCTGCTCCATGATTAATTAATAGAACAAGTAAAAGTGTGACTAAATTATAGATAAATCCTGCAAACTGACATCAACTCATGCTACAGCCTATAAGTAGAGGGTGTGTCTTCCCTATCCTCATTTAATTTGCCATCAACCACTCTCTTCGATCAAGTGTGAGCAGTGAGGGAGATAATGTTGGCAGTTCAAGCTAACAGGCTGGCCAGAGATAATTTGGAACATGTGGGAGCAGCATCACACAGATATATTCCTCATTATGGGTACATTGCTAATATTTCTGCATTCAACGTATTAAAACCTTACGAAATCTCTCCAGATTTCAAAAAGTTGAAGTTCTCAATTTCATACTGAATTGGTCGCCATCAAAGATAATGCTGATGTTCTACAATATTTACTCCTATTCCCTAGCATGCTTTTCCTTATATACCCTTTCAGCACTTACCCTGTTAGCTTTGCTGTTTGCTAATTTATTATTAGGGTGTGTACATTTTTAATAGTTTCCTTCCTTGATAGGAAAACAGAAAACAAGGAATTCCATGAATCCAAAATTGATTAATTGATATGTTCCCTAATTTGTTCTTCCAAGTCTCCCAATAAGCTACCATAACCTACCCTAACTGATTCTATCCACATTGCTGATGGTCATCCTCTTCTTTTTCTTCCATATTTCTCAGCAATAAGGCCTTTTCCAGAGAAAAATAATCATATAATGTGTCTGAAATAGGACAATTTGAGCCTGGTGATTTATTCCTCAAATGAGAACCTTGGGTTGATATGTTTGATGATCCATTGGTTTGTTTTCTTGGTTGTTCATGGTATTCTTCGGAGTCTTCTCCAACACCAAAGGCATCAACAGTCTTCCTAACCTACTTCTTTAAAGTCCAACTTTCACTTCCATGAGTGCTCTATCATGTGCTAGTCTATGGCCTATTTTAGTGGCTGCTTGTTGCTTTACTGTTGATAGTTGATCATGAAAGGCATAAGTTATCTATCCTTTACTATCTTCATGGTCAAATCTAATTAGCACCTCATTTGTTGACATGATTTTCACAGCATTTTGAAATCACAAACCTATCTCAATGAAAAAGTGGTCAGAACAGTGTGAGGATTTTATTTAAATTTCACTAATATAAATGAAATGTTATATTAAGGCTACTGCTGACAGATCAAAGAATAAAATACCTACCTGTCTGGATCATCACTGAAGTAATAGCTCACTTTTCCATAAGAGCCCACATCATTGTCTGTGGCCTAAAATATAATGAACATGAACAAAGAAAGCAATGTATATATCTATAATTCAGATCTCAAAAATAAATCCCTATTTTTGTTGCATATTAAAAGTCTTCCTAGAACGCATGCAATATAGTTGATTCAAAATGGAGTGTCATTGGGCAGAATCCTGAATCCTACCAGTGATAAAGTTGCTTTTATTTTCTTAGTCCCAGCGCTATTTAATGATGGAAACAGGCATCCCAGCTTAAAATTAGAACATGAGGAATTCCATCAATCTAAAATTGATTGATTGATTAGGTACCATCAAAAGATACTAACTGGATATTCTATTTCTAATTATTTTGATTCTGAATCCAGATTGAGTTGTATGTCTGTAAAAGTTCTAAGATTTATTTAGAGTTTTCTCCAGAGTGCTGCTATTCTATACTTTTTTCCATTTTCAGAGTTTACAGCCTGGATTAGTGTGATCTCCACAACTGCATCCTTAACAATATTCACCAACATGGGTTGCTATTGTTCATTGCTTTATGAGATCTTTCTGTTTGGCCTTGTCTGAGGTGCTGTGGCCTGTTTAAGGTGCCAGGATTTGAATTCCAAGCTCACCCTCTTGTACGCTTGGATTTCAATTTCACTCACAATAGAATTAAGCCAGATGTTATAAAATAATGTTTTTTTTAACCCTGGCAACTTTAAAATATGTGGACTTCAATTCCCCTGGCAGCATGATGACTTAGGAATTCTGGAAATTGAAGTCCACACATCTTAAAGTTGCCAAGGTTAAAAAACATTGTGATAAAGGGAATCATAATCAATTTATATTCCCCGTTATATCTATTATCTTCCCCTTTTAAAATAGCAGCTTTTAGTTATTCACAACTGCGTCCTCAACAATATTCATCAACGTTGGTTGCTGAGCCACGGTGGCACAGTGGTTAGAATGCAGTACTGCAGGCTACTTCTGCTGATCACCAGCTGCCAGCAGTTTGGTAGTTCGGGTCTCACGGGGTCAAAGGTTGACTCAGCCTTCCATCCTTCTGAGATGGGTAAAATGAGGACCCAGATTGTTGGGGGCAATCGGCTGACTCTGTAAACCGCTTAGAAAGGGCTGTAAAGCACTATAAAGTGGTATATAGGTCTAAGTGCTATCGCTAGTGCTATTCCCCTCACAAAAATGACATCTTTTGTTTCCTCCCAGCAAAACACACACTTCTTTACAAATCATGAGCACAATTTTATGCTCATGAATAATTAATACAATGAAACATCTATTAGGGTAAAATCTACAGGAATGGGGAGAGGGAGTGAAGGCAAATAGTTATGAACATACAGATGTCCAAATTCACTTCTATGCTCTTAAACAGAAGGAATATACACTCCTGCAATGAGATATAAAGAAACTTGTTAAGGCAATAGAAGTATGACAGGGATCATGAAGAAAGAGCTAAGGCCAAGACTGCAATCAAGAAGTTATTTGATTAAAAATCCCCTACCCTCTAATTTATGACACCGTCTCTTCACTATTCCAAGCCACATTACAATTTAAAAACCCCAGTGAGCGTCTCTTTTCTGACCCAGAATTCTAGGAAATGTAGCTCAGTGTGCTTGGAGGCCAGGAAAGATTCCTTTAGATTATCAAACCAAAGAAGCTTGATGAACATGAACATGGTTTTTATAATAAATCATTTTTACATCAAGAAAACCCCTCAGTTATTTGGCTGATAAATCAAATGCTTTATCAATATCCGTATCGTATCTACTGAACAGAAGCACTCTTGAATTTCTGGCAAAACATTAGTGTGACAAATGCCTTGGAAGAAGGACTGTTGCACTTGAATTGTATTAGGCATATTTATTTTTAGAAATAATAATAAAAACACTTGAAACCTTGTGAGATACGTCTTCCTTCCTTTTTGTTGTAATTTTGTTCACCTAGGGCTGTAATGGCGAACCTATGGCATCTGTGTCAAAATTGGTACACAGAGCTTTCTCTGGGCAGGCGAGCTAACTCAGCTTTGCCGTGCGTGCACATCCGTGCCTCCCGTAGCCAGCTGGTCTTCAGGTCTCTGCCACGCATGCATGGGAGGGGGGGCAGAGGGCATTCAGGGGGTGGGGCACATGCACAGGGAATGCACATGCGTTGTATTTTGGGCACGTGCACGCATGGTGCCGTAAAGGTTAGCCATCACTGATCTAGGGTATCTATTGTATGCTGCCAAGAGTGAACTTGTGTGGAATGGGTGGCTAAATAAATTAGATAGATAGATAGATAGATAGATAGATAGATAGATAGATAGATAG